ACTTCTCACTTGGACCAGAGGACAGTTAGGGTGGTCTATCCTATCCTGAGCGAGATAGCTCTAGAATACCCAATTTTGTACGACTTAGTCTGGTTTGAGCGAGAAATACGTCTCTTAAACAAGAAACTCAATACCCAAAGCTCCTATTTCTCCTAAAATGAAGGCAAAACAATGAGAGTTTTACACCAAAAGGGTTATGCTATGCTCTTATATTAAAACACACATAAAACACTTAATACCCAATCAAGAACCCTTATTATTAGTTATATCAAACAAGGCAATCACATTGCACTGCAACTCAACTTTTTATCTAGCAATTGCACAACTCTCATCATTATATTCTAACTTATAAAAAATTCATATAACTCTAGCTTTTACAACAAAATTAATTATAGACCCCACTGTTAATAACACCAAACAAAACAACCACACAGTACAACAATTTATAGTTCTTTATTCAACAACCTCACAACTCGTATATCTCATTTCAATGCATACAATCAAACTATTATAACATGAGTTAAAGGTTTGATAGCTAATAATCACCTTCTTTGTCTCTGAATTATAGAGTCTGTATGTCTTTGAATTTATGTAGTAGCCAATGAACACACACATTTTTCTCTTTTCTCACCAAACTTCTTCTTTAACTGTTGGTGCATGGGCATATGCTATACATCCAAAAACTCTAAGACTTTGTTTGAAAGTTTAGAGGGAGAAAAAAAGGGAAGAGTTTGAAGGGGGAAAGAGGGGAGGGGAAAGGATGTTAAACATCTCTTTTGTTTGGATGTTTAATATGGAGAGGGGAGGGTGACATGAGTTAATAATATAAATGATATTATTGTCTTTTATACCTTTTATTTATATTTTTTATTTTTTTTCAAAAAATAAAAAAAATTAAATATTTTTCTTCTTCTAAAAATTAATAATTTTAAAAACTAATATATTTTGAAAGTATCACTCTAAAAATATATTTTTAAAAATTATATTTCTATTTTTTTATAATTTTTTTAAAAAATATAACTCAAAAATTAATATATTTTGAAAAAATTAATTTATTGCAATTCTTTTCTTTAATTTTTATAAAAAAAAATATCAATTATATATTTTTCTCCCTCTAAAAATTAATATTTAAAAAAATAATATTTTGTTATTATTTTTTTAAAATTAACATCACACTTTTTAAAAAATATTTATTTTTTTCTTATTTCATTCATTTAATAATTAAATAAAGAAAAAATTTCTAATAGAATAAAAACCTTCCAAAATGGGAGAACTCACAAAATCAAGTTAGGATGGTTTTGGAGGTTTAGAAAACTCTCGTAACCATTTCTCTCCAAATTAATTAACTCTCAAACAATAATTAGATTCCCCTAACCCCTCCCTTCCCCTCCTAAAGAAACTCTAAAGGGTTGTTTGGAAAGGGATGTCTTGGAGGGGAGGGTAAAATTTATATTTTAACTAAATATATTTAAAATTAATATATTATCAAAAACTTATGTATTAATAATATATTTATCATCATAAATAATATATAATTCTTTTAATTTAAAATTAAAAAACATATCCTCCCTTCCAAAAACCTCTTCTCAAACATACCCTAAGGTGTCGAACAAAGGCTTCCTTCTGCTCCAAGCTTCTTCTGTTGTTTTGTCACAAACACTTTTTATTGGACACTTGTTCAAGATATATATAGTAGTAGCAACAACTTTTGCCCATAATTCTCTAGGCACTTGTTTCACCTTTAGCATACATCTCACTATGTCTATAATTGTCCTATTCTTCCTTTCACCAACTCCATTTTGTTGGGGGAGTATATCTGGTTGTTAGTTGATGATGAATTTTATGTTCTTCAAAAAAATCTGCACAGACGAGGTATTCTTGGTCTTTGTCTATTCTCAAAGATTTAATCCTACAACAACTTTATTTCTCTGCAAATGACTTAAAGGCGTCACAAGCTTCTCATTTTTGCTTCAAGAAATACACTCGTTTTTTTTTAAATCATCAATAAAGGTAATAAAATACTTACAACTATTATGTGTTGGAATTTCAACTGTAAACAAGTTTGAGTGAATAATCTTCAATGGCTTTCTTTCTCTCTAGGACTTTCCTATAGAAAATGATTCTCTGTGTTTCTTTTCAATTGACAAGTCTCATACACACTGTTGGAAATATTTATAATAGGCAATCCAGAAATATATTCTTTCTTTGATAGATAATTTAATCCAGAAAAATGAAAGTATCTAAAATGCATATGCCATAACCAATCATCATTTGGTATGATAGATTCATGTTGAATTTTCAAAGGGAATAGATGATTTAAAGTCATTTTTACCCTGGTTATAAATTTCCCAATCTTGTTAATCAACATGCATTTCCCATGATGAACTTGCATGTTGTAAATTTTCTCTAATTTGCCCCGTGCTTAATAGATTATTGATGAAGACTAGGAGCATAGAAAATAGAGATGAAATTATGTGAACTATCTTTCAATCTAATTGTGATTCGGCCTTTTCCCAAAATTAGAATATTGGTGTTGCCAAATTTAATAGTTGAACTAACTGTTTCATCTAGCAAGGAAAATAATTCCTTTTTCCCACATATGATTGCTACACCTAGTATCTAAATACCAGATGTTTTCATCTTCTGAGAAATTATTGCTTGCTAAAAATAAGCTTTATGGGTTATTAGAATTCTCACTAATATCTTGCTAATGGTTTTCTACAATGTTTGCCTATTGTCGAAATCTGCTGCTCTGTGGCCAAACTTTCCATGGTGAAAAGTAATTGAAATTTGTTCTTTCTTGATAGTTGTTGCCTCTTCCTCTACCATGGTTGGTAAAACTAAAATTATTTCCATCACTTCCTTGACTAGGTGTTTTGAAATTATTGTCTCTTCCTTGGTTGAAATTGTCACTTCCTCTTCTTCTGAAATTACCACGATCTCTAACTCCGAAGTTACGTCTTCCTCTATTATTGAAATCAGCACAACTTCCTTCTCTACTTTGGTTGGATTCAGCTACATTGTTGAAATTTATCATCCACTACAATGCTTTTCATTTACTTTTCTAGTCTTTTCCAACATTCTGCTTACATGGCTTTCAATGCTTCCTTACAATTGTGCAACCGTCATGGTGTCTGTGTCGTGGGACTCTATTACTGTAGTTATCACGTGATCAAACTTTATCGGCTTGGTGCATAGAATTTTCTCTATCATCTTACTTTCAAGAATATCTTCTCCATACACCCTCATCATATTGACAAGGTCTGTAATATGATAAAAATATTGCTCTATATTTTCTAAGTTGGACATCTTTGATCTTTCATATTCTCTACGTAAGAATTGTTTCTTGGATTTATTAGTCTTTTCTACTCCTTTGTATGACAGCTTCAAAATATTCTCTTTTTCATTGGCTATTTTGGCATTTGCTATTTTGCCAAAAATTGAGTAATCTACTCCTTGGTAGATTTGTGAGAGCGTCAACTAGTCCCTTCTACGAACACCATCATTTGCTCCTTCTTGCAAACTTAGTTCAATAAAGCTTTAAATATTGTGAGCATTCAAATGGGTGAAAATCAATAATGCTCAATAATTATAATCAAGTTTTCCATTTAATTTGGGACCGAACCAAACAATATTTTAGTTCGTGACAATCTCTCTCTCAAATAAACTTTCAAAATTTTAGTAAAGTGAGAACTCTCTTTTTTCTCATACAATCAATAATTTTTTTAAAAAAAATTTACACTCACTTTCTCACAAATTCATAAAACCAATGTTGGATATAACCATCTCTAATTTCAATTTGATATAGGTGGGACATTATAACACACAAAAATTTACCACACTCAGCAGAAAAGAGGAAGAGAGTTTTTTATACTTCACTCAATTATGAGACCAGAGGATATCTTTTGTAAGCAAGTATAACAAGCTTTACACAATTTTAAAGTTACATAATTTTAAATTTTTAATTCAACAATAGTTGTCAACTTTAACTAACATATGCATCGGCAACTTCCACCAAATTCTTTGTTGCCAACTTTAACCATTAACATTATACAATTTAATAAGGTTATCAACTTGTAAGTTGCAAGTTGCATGACAACTTGATTTAATTAAAAATTATCATCGACACAAGTAAACACTACATGTCACATTGGTATTGGTATAAGAGTGAATGATATAAATTGAAGTATTTTCTTTTTTGGAATAGATGGACCCAAAGACCAAAAGAGAAATTACTTCATAATAGTTGTAGAAGTATAAACTCCCAGTACATAAAAAACAAAGCACTTGTGCCAAAGCTTGAGGCGAGTCATCAGAAATAGTAGTTCTCCACAACAGATGTATGAGTCGCACTTCCTCCGAGTCATATTGGAGCATTTTTTTAATTCCTTGAGTGTTTACCTTTGTAGCTCCCCTCCGAAGCCCAAACATATTTTGTAGGACAACAGTGGTATATATATACATGGCCTACGGGTGCAGAATGATCCCCCCAAAATAAGTCAAGTTATATCATCCTTATATGTTCATATTTAGCTACTAATTTCAGAGGCTTAAAAGACATGGTGCTTATTAGTCAAGCTGGAAAGCCTAAGTTATTTTCTTTTGTTAAAGGATCATCCATTTAAAAATGCCAACACTTACAAAACAAAAAGTGCTAGATCACTAGCCCATTACAGCAGTATACAAACATAACAAATGGGTGCAAATGATCCACCTGAACATGGCTACTTTTTCGGGTAATGTCATACATAATGTGACACACCTACGCAAAGGGTTGGTCTCACACAAGGGTTACGGGAATACCAGATAATTGAAAACATTAAACCTTGACCGAAAAATAAAAAATGAAAAGTAGACTGTATTACTGTCTTGTTTCCCTGTAAAAAACACAAATGGTTTTAGCCACAAGCATAGTCGTGAAGATATTCTATAGACAATTTGCTGGTTTCCAAAAACGTGATGAAAAATACTTTGTTCTTCAAAAGCACAGGAAGTAATACCAAAAAGAGGAATGAACCATTTTCCATCCAAATAAGTCAGAATGTAAGAATATTCAAATGAAATAACAATGAGCAGTGGCAACAAACATAACCATGAACAAAACTAGGAATACATCGGCCTGCACAATTTGCAGCTCTTACATACAATCAGATAAACAGACTTCAACATAGGGCCAACCGAAAAAATTGTTTGGTCTTCTATTACTGGCAAGAAAGAGTGAGCTACTAATAACTAATGGGACTTCACCACAAAAGTATCTTTGACAGCTTTTTCAGAAAAGGAAAATATGTAGCCTAAAGAACTAAATAAGCAAATAAACTACAAACTTGCGTTGATGCTAGATATATTAGTCCTAGACTATAATTATTTGCTGACAAACTTCTATCTTCCATAAGGATGATATCGGCCAGTTCCTGCACCACCATATCCTCCTCTAGCCCCATAAAAGGAGCTTCCACCAGGACCCCCATACCCACCTCCTAGGCTAGCATCATAGCTGCCTCCATAGGCACTACCAGAGGAACCATCACCACCATATGCTCCATAACCCTCACTAGGTCCACCATACCCACCAAGATCATAGCCTCTGCCAAAGCTCCCACCATAGCGACCAGCATATCCAAGTGAAGGATCACCTCTGTAAGGCCCCATGGCACCAGCATATCCTCCATACCCACCAAATTCACCACCAAAGCCACCATAAGCACCTCCCCTACCTCCATATGGACCACCTGATCTATAGCTCCCAATGCCAAAATTACCACCAAATCCATCATATGTATCTCCATATCCACCACCATATGAAGATCGTGAGTCATTATAGCGCTTAGATGATGAAGGAGGTGGGTTAGGCTTCTTTGGTTCTGCCTTCTTGATTTCCACCTACAAAAAAAAGAGAACCAAGCTTTTTAAATGATAAGAATTTATTAAATGCAAAAAATTAAATGGATGAAAATGAAACAGATTTAGAAATATCATGATCTTTCACATGATAGAGAATTAAAAATACATTCCAGTGTTAAAAATGATTATGATAGAGAATCAAATGCTTTACATCAACCACTGATGGTAGATCAAACAGTTAGACCTTAAAATGCATCCTTAATGTGATAACTAGTAAGATCAAGCTGCGAGGCAACAACTCATCCAAATGGTGTCGTGCCTGGAAAATTAACCCAATACCACCACACACTTCTTTCTAAAGTAGTCTTCCACACACACACACACACACACACACATATACATATATATATAAAGATGACAGTATCATCAAGAACACAAGAAGATCCTCATTCATGCATTCATTCCAAAAATCAATGCAAACAATAAATGTTAGGCCCTAAAGATGGAAACTCATTCCAGTAAGGATATCCAATAGACCAAGACCTAGTAGATATTGAAATGTTCCCCGGATGGGCCCAGGCTTGGTATTCTTCTGATGACCAACCACAGTTTAGCTGTAATACTACACATACCTACCTTGGCCTAAAATCATTTTATACAAGTGCACACAAATTTTAGGACAATCATTGCTTTATATTGCAAATTTTTACTGTTTTTTTTTTTAAACAACTGTGATCTTGAACACTTATTACTTCATTGAGAAAAAAGTCACTACATTTAAAACATTTGGAAGTTTAAATTTTATAGAGATAGGAACAACGTGAATAGGTCCATGCTCTTCAATTTGGGCATTAAATTTATTACCTGGCCCTTGCTCATCACCACACTAAAGCAATAAATAACAAAATAAAAACATTGCAGCCATTTCATTGATTTCAACAGAAATTTCAGAAATCATAGCAACTTGATTTGACAGCTATGAAGCCCAGATCCATGAAAATACTGAAAGTACCCGTCGAACACATATTCGATATTGATACGTGTCCAATATGTCTAGATATGTATCTCAAAAGTATCCGTAATATAATTATTATTAAAAATTAATTTCTAATGGGATACGGTTGGGATACGGCTTTAAATGATCTGATACGGCTCCAATATGGCTTGGCTCAAAAATAGTAACAGCTTAGTAAAATTATTATTGAAACAGAGCATTTCAATCTTTCTTCTCCCATTTCCCCATTTCTCTCATTCTTCGCGAGGAAGGAATGCCCCTGAACCTCACCCAAAATAAAAGCCCAGCTAGGGCTTCTTTGAGTTGTATTTCTCTTGGGGAAATGATAACTATTGCGGAAGCAAGGTGATTTGGAGTGTTTTGAGAGGTTGATTCTGGTCCAGCAAATTCCCAAGGCATCGATTCTGGTTGAGCAAGCTCCAGAGGTGGTGTTTCTGGTCAATTCTGGTCCAGCAACGGTTTTGTTCCTCTTCGTATTTTACAGCAACAGTTTTAAATGTTACTCTATTGCAGTTGCAGTAAAATCTCACAAACTTTCTCTTTTCTATTCATTTTACAGCAACAAAGTAAAAATGTTATTCTTGTATTTTTCAACAGCTGTGTTTGTTGACAAAAAAATGAGTTCTGATGCTGAGTCTAATTTTAGAATTCCAAGTAACTTTGGTTCATTAGAACTTCAAGATGATCATGCTCCACTTTGGGCTTATGTCACTATAAAGGATAAGCTAGGAGATGGAGGAGGCAACAGGCTATGGAGTTGTAATTCTTGTGAGAAAGTGGTCAAAAGTTCATACTTAAGAGTGAAAGCACATTTACTTAGAATATACAGTGCTAGTGTTGCTCTTTGTCCTAAGGTCACTACTGAGTATTTGGCTGATTTGAAAAGAATTTGTAAAGAAGCTGAGAATAAAATTAAGCCTAAAACTATCCCACTACCTTCAGCTACAGCAACCTTATCCCAGAAAAGAAGAAAAACAGGAAGTAGTACACTAGAAAGGGCTTTCAATGTTGATGAAAGGAATCAACTTAGAGCAGAGATAGCAAGAATATTTTATTCAGTTGGCTTATCATTTCATCTTGCTAGAAATCCTTACTATGTTAGCTCTTATTCATTTGCTTCCAACCATAACCTTAGTGGTTTCCTTCCTCCTAGTTATAATACTTTAAGAACTAGTCTTTTACAACAAGAGAGATCTCATATTGAAAGGTTGCTCCAACCTATAAAATCTTTATGGCTTATAAAAGGAGTTACATTAATTTCTGATGGATGGACAGATGTTCAAAGAAGGCCATTGATAAATTTCATGGTTGTAAGTGAAGTAGGGCCAATATTTTTAAAGACTGTTGATGGTTCTAAGGAGTACAAGGACAAACACTACATGACCAGCATAATAAAGGATGTAATTAATGAAGTAGGGCCAAAAAATGATGTTCAAATCATAACCGATAATGCTCCTGTTTGTAAGGCAGCTGGGATGTTAATTGAAGCTGGTACTCCTTGTGTTGTTCATACTTTGAATCTAGCATTGAAAAACATATGCGCAGCTAGAAATATTGATGAAAATGAAAATGTTTTCAATGAGTGTCATTGGATCACTCCTATTTGATGATGCATCTTTTATCAAGATTTTCATAATGATTCACTATATGAGATTGGCTATTTTTAATGAGTTTTCATCTATTAAATTGCTTTCTGTTGCTGAAAACCGTTTTGCATGAATGGTTGTCATGCTAAAAAGATTGAAGTTGTTGAAAAGTGCTTTGCAAAATATGGTCATTAGGAACCAATGGAATAGTTATAGAGAAGATGATGTTGGTAAAGCTGCCCATGTGAAAGAACTTGTTTTAAATAATATATGGTAGGATAAATTAGACTATATTCTTTCTTTCACAAATCCTATATATAGCATGCTTAGAAAATGTGACACAAATGCTTCCACTCTTCATTTGGTCTATGAAATGTGGGATTCCGTGATTGAAAAAGGGTAGACAATCATATATAGGCATGAGGAAAAGGAAGCAAATGAGGTTTCCAATTTTTTTTACGTGGTTCATAATATACTAAATTTTAGGTGGAGCAAGAGTTGTACTCCACTTCATTGTTTGGCCCTTTCATTGAACCCAAGGTAAATTTTATTTTAGTTATTGTCTCTTGAAAAATAAAAGTCATACTACAACAAATCTTTTAATCTTATATAGGTATTATAGTGAAGAATGGCTTAGGGAGGCTCCAAATAGAGTTCCTCCACATCAAGATGATGAAGTTTCAAGAGAAAGGAACAAATTTTTGAAGAGATATTTTCCTATTGGTGAGAAAAGAAAAAATGTTTTTCTTGAATTCTCGAATTTCTCATCTTGTGCAAGTGACTTTGCTTCTTTTTATTCGATTGAAGATACGTGGACATTCGACCCAAAATCTTGGTGGGTAATGCATGGATCTTCTACCCTTTTACTTCAAAAGCTTGCCTTAAAGCTTCTTGTACAGCCTTGTTCCTCATCTTGCTGTGAGAGGAATTGGAGTACGTACTCGTTCATTCATTCTTTAAAGAAAAACAAAATGGATCCAAAAAAGAGCTGAGGATTTGGTTTATGTTCATTCCAATCTTCGTCTTTTGTATAGGAAAGAAGAAAAGCATATTAAAAGAGAGACAAGAATGTGGGATATTAGTGGAGATGTACATGATCCACTTGATGATGGTGTTGGATTCCTTCAATTGGCTGAATTATCTCTAGATGAAGCAGACTTAGAAGTTGTGCTTTTTGTAGATGATGGGGATGGAGGAAATGAGTGTGACAATGTTAGAATCAAATAGTATAAAGGCAGGACATTTTTTTGTGATAGTTCTATATTTTTTTTGGATAGAAATACCAATTCTTGTGTGGAATTCTAACTTGGGAATAAAGTATGTAATTTTATTTTTGTGTTCATAGTTGGAGAAATATTTTGACTTAGTTACTTAGACAAGGGAAAGATATGATCGCATGTATTTTTTTTGTAAAATGTAATCATTGATATGTAAATGGAACACATTAATATAAATTAATTATTAATATCTACTTATAAATATTTTGTATATGTAAAAAGTATGTTATTTCTTTAAATTCTTTTTAAAGTATCTATGCCGTATCCTATCTTGAATTCTAAATTCTCCCGTATCCCCGTATCTGTATCGTATCCGTGTCGTACTAAGTATCAAGGCTTCATAGTTTGACAGTGATTTCTGACAGTAAGGCATAGCCCAAGTTAATGATGACTCATAAGCTAATAGGCACACAATTTCTTAAGAAGGGAAATTCAGGGTGTCCATAAAACAAGAAACCACTCATAACTATTATCCTGCCCTTTTAACCAGAACTTAAGAGGGGACAAAAATAGATAATTAAACCCCAAGATTTGGAAAGCAGTTGTAAAGTCAAATCCCCTCCATTCCCATCTATGCTAATCCTTTATCTGCTAAAAGAGTAACTTTTTCAAGGGATAAAAAAATTCCTCACCTGAGCTCCAGCAAACTCAATTTTGTTCCCTGCAGCTAAGAGGTCATCCACAGCTTCTTCAGAGTCATAGGTGATAAACCCAAACCCACGTGAACGATTAGTAGAGTGGTCCCGCATTATTTGGTGATCTTTGATTTCTCCATAGCGTGTAAAGAAGTCCCTAAATTCATCTGCATAAGTGTATTTCTAATTAAAAGAGTAAAATTCATAAAGAATATTTTTTCCACAGCTCTTCTATGGTTAGCAAGTTACTTCCCAAATCTGTAATTGTTTTTCAGAAAGCAGCCAATTAAGTCCATTATTCGAGCCTGGCTAATTAACTATAGCTTACACACAACCTTTGCACAACATCCATGCAAATTTGAAAATTTTCCAAATGCATGCATGTCTTTGGAGACATCTGACCACAAAATAGTCCACCCTAAAAGATATGAATAATGCACACACAAGTGATGAGTCAATCATACGAGTTATTAAAACAAATTGCATTTTCATCCACTCATCCTACTAACAATCATTGAAACCTCATACAGGACCTCTCTGTGTACAATGTAAGAACAAAACCTCCGACAGCTCTTAACCCTAGCCAATACTCAGACATACATAAAAATGAAACTTCAAAAGTTGAAAGTTGAAACTTACTTTCTAAAAGGAATTTCAACACACTAGACATGTCTTTTAGGCTTATGTTAATTGATGTAATAGAAGAATTATACAACTTAAATACCGTATGCATACAACTTTTTAATACATATTTTCATGCTATATCCTCAAATTATGAGTTTTTCAAAGTTAAGGAAACCAGTAAAAACTCAGGTCGAATAAACAAGTACCTTCAGAGACAGTGGAAGGAATTCCACCAACAAAAATCTTCTTCGTTCTGAAGTCCTTGGAGTTAGAGCCAACTGCGCCCCGTGGTATGGTCCGTTTAATCTCCACCTACAAAGCATTCACTCACAGCATTAGCTTTCGTTTTCATCTTTCTTTTTGAAAGGGTTAAAATGGAAGTGTTTTCCACCTGCTTGCCATTGATAATGTGAGTGTCCTCAATAACCTTATCAACCACAGAGGGATCTGCATAAGTTATGAAACCGAAACCGCGAGGCTGCCCGGTCTTCCGGTCCTTCATTATAACGGAATCCGTTATCTCACCGTATTTACCAAAGTGCTTGATGAATTGAGCTGCACCAATATCACATAAAAACGGTTACAGCAATCCTGAAATTAAGATAACAACGCAATGCGGCACAAAACGAAAGCACTAACCAATCGTTGTTTCTCTCGCTAAACCACCTATAAATATCTTTCTGCAATTAGATAGAACCAAATATTCTAAGAAATTTGGGAAATGTGAATTTTTTCTTTTAAAGAAAAGGGTTATGCCATAAGTAAGGAGTTAGGGTTCGGTGTAGTTACCGACCCGGGACTGGCACCGTCGCCGGTGAGAGGTTGGGGCTTGTCGTCTTCTTCGTCTCTGTGGGAAAAGGGCCTCACGTCGTTGGCATCTCCGTCGACGGCGTGGTGATTGCTCGGTGAGTCCATCGCTTTACCAATTCAGAACCTGAGAGCGGAAGAGATTTTGGAAAACAGAGAGAGAGAGAGAGAGAGAGAGAGAGAGACGGAGTGTGTGCATGTAACCCTAGATTTTTTATTTTATTTATCTTTTAAGCTATACGTTTTATATATTTATATACCCACGATTTTAATGTTTGTTAAATTTAATTTAAAATCAAAGCCTTTTATAATAATAAAAAAAATAATAATAATAAGGTTCTGATTGAATAAACACAAGTACATGACTAATAAAGTTATTTAAGTTATTATTAATAAAAAATTAAATTGTCGTGGACTCCACAAATTTTATTAGATAAATATATTTAAATATGCTTTGCACGAAATAATTTTTTTTATCATTTTTAATATTTATAATATAAGACTGTGATACATAATACGGATAATATACTTATTTTTATATGGTTCTAGTTAATGTGAAGAAAGATGAGCGTTAGGAATGCACAATTGTTAAAAATAAAAAAATTATATAAATAATTAAATATATGTGCTTTACAAAATTATATCATGAATTTTAAACACAAAATAGATAAAAATATAATATAATTATATAAATAATGACATACCTTTTCAACTTTTTATATTATAAATAATATTTTTATAATTGTCAGTTTAAAATGATTTATAAAAAATAACTATGATTCTCATAAATTATTTTTGACTTATTTTAATAGATTTTATTATTAAAATTAAGATAAAAGTTATTAATTTTAAAAAATTAAATAAGTATTTAAATAAATAAAAGTTACAAATGTAAATTTTAAGAATAATCATTTTTTGTTATAAATAAATATAACTTATTTTAGTAACAATTAGTTAAAGTCGGCTATAATTCTAAGTTGCATATGAATCCCATAATCATTCTAAACTTTCAATTTTTAAAATTAAGCAAAATTACAATGTTTATAAGTTTTTAAAATGGTGATGTATTTATATAGTTGAAATATGTCATATCTTAAATAATACTTCTTTATATTTTTTATTTGAAATTTTTATTTTTTTAAAATATAAAAATTAAATATTTTTAAAAATTACTATTTTTATTTTTATAAATTTTAAAAAAATCACTCTAAAATTAACATATTTTGAAAAAAATTAATTTTTTACTATTTTTTATTATTTTTTTAAAAACTACAAAAAATATATTTTTTTAAAAAAAATTAGTATTTTTAAAATTCCTATCTTTATTTTTTAATAATTATTAAAAAAATTCTCACTCTAAAAATTAACATACTTTTTTAAAAAATAATTTTTTATTATTCTTTTTATTAAAATTAACATCACCCATTTTTAAACATATTTATTCTTTTTACTCTTTCATTCATTTAATAATCAATATAAAGAAAATATTCTAATAAACTAAATAAAAAAAAGCATTTCAAATTATATTTAACTCATTCAAATTTGTTAAACAAGTAATATATATATATATATATATATATATATATATAATCATATATTAAAAGCACATATAACCATTATATATAAAGTATCAACAACGGCAAAAAAAAATTATTAAATATAAAAATTTATATGTATTGGCAAGCTTAGCAAATTTACTGATGTATTTTAGCATTAAAAATTACTTTGAGGAACTAACTTGACCAAATACCATTTCTATTAGCAAACTCTTTTGTTTATCTTTCAAAGATCCAAGCAGTCCTCTATATAGAATTGTCAATAAAATATAAGTATGTATGGTTAAACATTTGACTCTCAATTTTTAATTCTTCCAAAAGATTCTAAATCTCATTTTCAAAAATTGGAAGCATTTGTTGAGCATTCTCATAAGCTAGTGTACTCTTTCTTAGAGCTTTATTACTATCTTTGAAAGCATCGACAATTTTTGAAAGTGCCTCTTTTATCCCTTCAACTTCAATATCATTTTTGGACTTTCTAGATTTACTAGCCTTGTTCTCTTGTTGAGCAACTTGCATCATAAGAGAACTAATTTCTTGCTCATTGTCTTCCTGGATACCTTATAATGTAAATTGTAATGACTCTAATTTCCTAGAGAGTGACCTTTTATTTGGCAGTCTCAGCATGCTCTTTAGTTGCCTTATCTACCCCACACATGATGAGCATCTTGTCATAGTTTGGAATAGACTTTTTCATCCACTCTTCAGCGTCAGGCTTAGCCTATTAAATAAGTTATTAAACAAAGTTAGAAATAAATACTATAAAATTATATAAAATCAAGAAGTTCGAATTTTGTAACATGCCTGAATTAGTTTTTGCTAAACTTCGGGTTCAACAACACATCATTTTGTGTTTGAATCTCATGCAAATCTACTTAAATTTTTGAAGATGTTATAGCATTTCGTAAAACTCTTTTTCAATAACTTCCACCGACTTTTTAACTTATCCTTTTTAAAAGGTCTGATAAATTTTTCTTGTAACTCTTTAGTTATGGAGTCATAAGCCTTTGTTGTAAAACTTCCACCCACCTTATTTCTCTCATTCTATGAATTGTATGTCTTGTTTCTGTCTTTCTTCATATAATTACAAAATATCAAAAATATTTTATTGTATTTCTCTTTAAATTCTACATAACATGATATCCTTCCACATTACAAGCTCATATAGAAGATCAAAGATAACCTGTTGGGAGTTTGACCTAATCTTCGTGAGAATAGTACAAATATACTCATTAAAACAATTGATATCTACTTCTAGTTTCTAGTTTGAACAACTTTTATTTCTTTCTTATTATTGAATTAGCTTTTTAATTTTTGTTATCTATTTTAATTATAATCTTCTTTCCCTTTTCATTCACAGTTTTTTATTATTTTTATTTCTTTTCAATTCATAATCCCTCAAATTGAATGAAGTTTTAGAAATCGAGAAAAGGAATACAAAAAATAAAAACCAACAAAAAGAGACACAATGGAAAAAGGCAGAACTTGTTTGAGTTTAAAGAAAATCCAATAAACAAGTACGTGAGACTTGTGATATATTAAACAAGCGCTCTTATATAGGAAATTTTAATCAAGAATTTATTGGAAGAAAAAAAAAATTTAAGTGTTTGGATGTGATCATATAAGAAATTAGAAGTGATGTTATGAACTAAGCGTCAAAATTTTAGTCATGGGTGTTTTTTCACTGAGATATATAATTTAACCTATATTTACTTCTTTGATGATATCTTGAACTATAGGTTGAGTTTAGAGGTGTGTGTACTCAATTTCTATCATGCCTTATATTCAATTTATATGTAGTAAATTACATTCAAGAAAATCAAACATATAATAAACAATATAGTATCTAGTATGTACATTGTTCACAATTTGTGTTTAGATATTGGATTGGAAGGTGTGATTAGGTTTTAGAAGGGGCTATGTTTGAGTACGTGATGATAAACACGATTCATGTTGCCAAATTAAAAGATTTTGAATTGAATTACAGACGACAAAAATATAATTATTACAGTAAAAATAAGAATTAAGACAAGAGAAAATACTACCAAAAACACACTATATACAAATGGATAATACATACAAATTTTATTTATTTGTAATACAGACGGATTTACAAATAGATATTTAATTTTTTTATTTTTTGGAGAAATTCGTCTGTAAATCCATTTGAAATAAAAATATGTCTATATTACAACTGTCATTTGGCGCAAAAAATCATAGATAGAATTACAGACGAAACTTTCCATTTGTAATTTGAAAATTAGCAGGAATTTTAGAGTGAGAGTTATAGACGGAAAAAATTTGTTTGTAAATATAGCCATTTTTACCAACTCTTCATATGCCTATTTATAGAAAAAAATTTCATTTGTAATGGTCTTTGACAGATTTACAGATAGAAAAATATATCTGTAATTGAACTCCTAAAACGCACTATTTTATTAAACCATTTACAGATAAACTTTTTTGTCTGTAATGTGTAAAACCCATCAAAACTACGTCTCTTCCTTCTTCTTTCTCACTTTCTATTATTTCTTCATTCTCTCATATGCTTATCTCCGTCTTTCTCAAGCATTATCAGTTTTTTGGCCTTTCAAGTGGTTGGAGCATCTATTTAAAAAATAATTTGTATCATTGTGTTCTTGGTACAATACTTTAACTTTTAATCAGTTTAGTTTTTTAATTTTTTATGTATAATATAGACTCAAAATTTCTAAGATAGAGTTGTAGAACTAGAGATTGTATGACTGGGGGATAGACCTTCCCTGAACCTAATTATTGTGTGTGGGATTGTTTGTACTTGTGGAGATTGTAGAATATGCATGTTTTGGAGTTACAAGGGGGTGTGCTTTAGAGCAGTTTAGGATTGTGATGTGTATGTGTTTTTATGTATTGATTAATAGATTGTTATATAATATATAGATTATGTGTGAAGAAAATTTAGATTTTTGTATTAAGTATAAACAAATTTAAGAAAATATTCATATATCAGAGGATATTCTGCCAAAATATACACTAGAAATTTGTGTAATGTAAACTAAAAGGTTGATAAAACATTGTGTATTTGTTTATTTGGTCTCTAAACATACACAAATCAGTTTAATTTTTAAATTTTTGATGTATAATAGAAACTTAAAATTTCTAAGATATAGTTATATGATTGAAAATTGTATGACTGGGGGGATTGGTGTAAAAGTCCTTCCCCAAATATGATTACCATGTGTTGTGGACTTGTTTGTGCTTGCAGAGATTGTAGAAAGTGCATGTTGTGGAGTTACAACATGGTCAGCACTCAGGTCCATGTACTTAATGAAGAACTGTAGAAGTAAAATGAGGAGATGTGGAAGACAAAGGAAAGTGCATGGAAGAAGAAGTGAGCGAAGAAAATGGAGAAGAAGATAAAGAAGAATGTGGCATCGAGGATGCAGAGGGAGGTGCAGCAGCAACATATGCAGATACATGCATACTTTGAGCTCATGAAAGCACCATCAATCTTCAGCTCCATGCGTCATTCTTCCTCCGACTCCTCCTCTATTGATGACGATACTCTTTTGGAAGATGATCACACTAATAATTATTTATATACACTGTTATTTTATTTTTGACATTATTTATTTAAATGTTTACTTCTTCATTTGTAATGACATTTTAATTTTATAAATATAATTTTGTAGTT